TATTATAGTTAAAGCTCCATTGCCATTAATCCCCCTCAAGCTACTCCTCCTTGCTTTGAGCTCACTCACCCCATCATTCTTGAGTGTCTTTGTAAGATATAATAAAAAGTAGAGTGAGTTCTGCTGCTGAGAACAAATGAAAGGTGAGAACACTGGACGCTGCAATGCGTCTTCATCCACCTTATTGCCTGGACGTGGCACTCTGTGGCTTCCTGTGCTTCCCCGAATCAAAGTGACCATGACCAGGAAAGGTAAGTTCTTCACTGACACAGGACATTGGCCCAGCCATGCCAACTCAGCATAAAGACACACAAAAGATGACTTTCATACTTGCATTATAAAGTGATAAGAACAGTAGTGTAAGTGTGTTCAAAGCAGGGAGGAGTGATTTGGGAGGAATCAATTGTAATGCATCTTGTGCTATAATACATTAAAAAATTTAAACATCAACTTTACTTTTATTGCACTTTAGCTATAACAAAACTTTGAACTCCAAAGATAAGAAGATTTTTCAAACTATAAATACTTGCTTCCAAAGAACATGTTGACAGATTTCTTAAGAAGAATTTAAGACAGTATGTAATTATATCTTCAGGGTACTGAAAGAGAAACAGCTATTAACTTAGAATTTTATGGATGCACTAAACTATTGAGAATGAGGTTATAGTAAGGCCATCTTGTGGATAAAAAACCAAAACACTAAAATAGAGTTTATCATTTGTTGACTGCTGTGAAAAATTTTATGAAGGAAATGCTTCAGTAATAAGGAAATTAAACATAGGGATAATTTGAGGTATAACAAAAGAAACAATATATGCAACACAGCAAACACTGTTGAATTCCTATTGATTTGTTTGAAGTTCTATATCATTTCTAATGTCTTTTTTTCTATTTTGTATTCTCTTTAGAATTTAATAATAAAAACCAATGTTCCAAACATTTAAAAATCATGCATACAAAAAGGCATATGTAGTTAGTGATAATTATAATGATTAATTTGGAGGCATTAAAAATAAAGTGCACCTAAAGCACTAAAAAAATGAAAAATTGTTACAAGTACTCTATATTATTTGGAACAAGTGTGTGAGATTAAGTCAACTGTCCTTGTTCATATTTTAGTGATAATCTCTAAAAGAAAATAAACTGGATAGCTTCTAAACTAGTAAACAAACAAACAAACAAACAAACAAAACAAAAACAAGTGGAAAAAACTCAGTCACACAAACGAAGGCAAGACAATGGAGAAGAAGCACACCAAGGTCCTGAGAAAGAGCACAAGAATACAGAAGGAATCCATCCAAATGTAACCCTGATGGCAGCAAACCCTGAGTCGGCTAGACTTACTGATGAAAGGCAAAGATGGTTAGCATGCACTTGAGAACATCAGCCTAGCTGTCTGTTTGCAGTAGGAGAAATATCTAACCTCTGATGGCACAACCATTTTGAAAATAAGTGGGTAGAGATACAGTGAACAAATAATTCTCATAAGAAAGGCAGTGTAGCTATATTAATGGCAGATATCAGATTTTTAGGTGAAAAAATAGTAACTAAGAATAAAGAGAAAAAAGGTCTGGATAAAAAAGAAATTCATGAGGAAATTATAACAGTTCTAATGAATTAGGTTCCTAATAATATTTCCTGAAAACATATCAAAGAGAGAAACAGATCAATCCATAGCGGTAGACTTTGTGTGGATAATATGATGATTAAACTTAACAGGAAGGAACAGAATTTATCACCCAGAAGTAGACTCACAGACCTATGTAAATAATGGTACACAGAAGTGCTGTCAGCTACCATAAATAAAAAGAAACATTGCCTGTGTGTAAAAATTAAATATAGTCTTTACCTCCTCATACTATATAAAATTTATTTATTTATTTATTTGTATTTTGTACAGAGTGTCACTATGCAGCTTGGACTTGTTATGATCCCCCTGTCTCAGCCTCCTCAGTACTGGGATTAGAGGCATAGGTGTGTGCCACCACACCCAGTCTCAGTGGCCAGCTCAGCATGCCTGGGGGGCAAGGTTGGTGCTGCATAGGGTACCAGGGATTGCACTAGTCTCTGTGCTTGCCTAAGCTGGCACTTAGTCTGTTTAGCTATCTCGTCAGCCCTGAAATTTAAAACCTGAATATGAACATGAAACTTTTAACCTTAACAAAAATATGGGAGAATAAATGAACATTTGGAACTGAGAAAGTGGGCAAATGATTGGTACCTATAGTAAGGAAATAACTTGCCTTGGTCACGCAGCTGATAGACTGAGCACTAGAATCTACACTTAGAGGTTTGAATCCAAAGCCCATATGTTTTGCTTCTGTGAAAGCAAAACTAGAGAATATCATTTTCACCCTGTGGATTAGTAAGAATTAATTAAAGCCTGGCTATGTCATAATATTAGTGAGATAGTCTTTCATACACTGCTAGCTAAGGTGTAAATTTCTGCAACCATGTTTCTCGGTCCTTTATCAATATCTTGTAAAATTGAAGATTCTCAATCCTTAGCATCTGGAAACTGCATCTTTTTAGATAAACATTTTCATGTAGGCATGTATGTAAATGATGTTTATTGTAGAACTTTTAGAAAGTCAAACAGTGAAAAATGTTACTACTCATCAAATGTTGAATCCATGAATAAACTGCAGTGTATTCATCCAGTAACATTGATATAGTAAAGGAATATGTTTTTGCCTTTTTTTTCTTCTTCTTTTTCGTGGTACCAGGGATTGAACTCAGGACCTTGTGCTTGCAGGCAAGCACTTAAGCCATTGAGCTATCTCCCCAGCCCCCAAAGTGAAGGAATATGTAACAATTAAATCAACTAGGCTTAGTTGTGTTAATGTGAACTCAGGTGAAGGTGGTTTGAATGATTTGAATAAGTTTGTGGGAAGAGACTACATAATCTGATCTATGTAGAGTTGCAAAACTTTCCAAACAATTTTATATATAAGGTTTGGATGTATTTATATATAAGAATGTATATGAGAAATTCATTAAGGAATCTTCTTTTACATTCAAAATCAGTACTGTCTAAGATTTCTTAAAGGTTTATGTGGAGTTTCATTTATTTTGCCACTACCAATATCATCTCAGCAAAGGGCATCAGAGTAGAGTCTATTCTATTTTACTGCAATTCCTCCTAAGGGGTTGTACCCTTCTAACTTATGCTCCAAACAACCATGCACTGGTCCTTTGAAGGCTTAAATTAGATGGTGCCACCTCTGTTTAGTGGCTTCTGTCACATCCAGAGCAAAACCCACAGTCCTTTGGCTTGGCCTGGAAGACCAACGTGATCTTGTCTTTGGTGAGATCTCCGACTATGGCCATGTCCATTGAACATTTGTAGCTACTACAGACGATTTGACACAAAAGTCCTAGAAACTTATTGAAGTGTGTTTTGGAACATATCCTTCCTATAGACTCTTCCAACTCCTTTAAATCCACATCAAAACTTGTTTGACAAGCATGCTATGCTTAATTTTTGTGATGTCAGTACTTGAGAAAGAATTAGTGTAATTGCTCTCCCAACCAAAGACATTTCGTGTATTATTTGAAGGATTGAGCAATGTAGGCACTTATGTCTTTGTGGGAGGGTCAGTCTGATCAGTAGGGCCTGTTTCATCACATCCCATGGATAGGTGCATATTTAACTAAGGCAGGGATGGTAAATAACTAGCATGCATGCTGTTACTCCTCCTGTTATTAGTCCGTGACAAGCATGACATGCATTTGGCCACAACATCCTTCTATTATAGCATTCCAGGCAGATGAAACCAAAAAGCCACTGGTGATGTTGGTTATGGTGTCCTGTTCTTGGATGAATAGGCGCAGGGCCAAAGCATTGCACAATTCGAAGGCATGGCTTACAGAGTGTATGGTGAATGATATCTACAGCATTTACATGGTCAGATGGAGCTGTTACTGCACCTTGACTCCAGTTGTCCTTTCACCTTTTCTTCCTTTTCCCATTAATAATTGAAGCAAGTCCATTTTTTAATTAGCAGCTAAGTAAACCATATATGATGCTTTGGGCATAGTTTTCTAAGGTGCTCAGGATTCTACTCTCATGTTATCACTAAGTGCATGAGCATGTCGTTTATAACCAATGCTGTAGACCAAAGCCTAAGGCGCCAAGTTGCTTATAAGCTCTCACAGCTCTTGAGGCCATTTCACTCACCTCAGTCTGACCACATGGGCTCTGATAAACTGATTTCTTAAACTTGACTGTTGGAATGCATTAGTAATCTGTAAAAAGAAAGGGGATTTTTTTTTTATTTTTTAAAGAATACCAATAGTAAAAAAAAAAAAAACACAAAACATTAGAATCCATACAAAATTTCATTAAACAGAGTAATAGGAATTCACCAGTGGTTGCTTTATTGCATGATGTTATCTTCAAATTAGTTGTTTAGTTTACCAGATAGAAACCTGAAAAACTGATTAAAAGAAATGAACCCTGACTACCTGGAAAAATATTTTTGTCATTGGTCCTTTCTTACCTTTCTCTCAACCTACTAGAGTGTGGGACCTCTATTAAAGAGTAGAGACTCAATTGTTTTGTTGACTTCACCTCAATTTCATCATGTAGGTGTGGCATTGGTCTAGGCAGATAACGTAACCTCTTGATGTGGGGTGTATTTCTTCATCTAGCAAACAGAGATGACACTGACCAGAGACATCTTCAGTAAAAGCCGTTCTACCTGCATCACTTGCTTTACTCTCTGAGGACCCATGCCACATGATTTGTTGACTGTTGCTTAGAGTGTTGGGTAAGAGCTGAAACCACACTCAACAACTCATAATGTATGATCTCCAACAACTGTTTTTAAATAGACAAATCCATAAAAGCATTGTAAAATGAGTAGCAATGAAAGCTTAAAGACAAGCAGAAAATGAAACAAATAGCAGCCTTTTCCTTGTAATTTTGGATCCATGTCTAAACATCAGAGGTTACTCTGAGCATTGGTTGGTGATTCCTTGACCCCACCATAACAATTTCGCTGAGTCACTGCTCAGTGTTAGCTAGGATGAGTGCCTTGGAATGCAAAGTTCAACTTCCCATCAGCAGAGAGGGCTTCTGTGATGGGCACGGTGTTGTGGAGCAGGCAAGGTGTCGTATGGTTTTAAAATAGAGAGCGGATTACCCTGGCTTGTGCTGTGAGGTGGGATGCACATACATGTTCACAGGAAGAGGTTAAGACAGGGAATTAAGCAGAATGCTGAATTTTACATTTACCAGGGATTAAAGTCAACTCATCAGGGACTGAAAGGTTTATGCCATCTGTTATATGTTATCTCACAGTATATATTACTTTTTGGATACCTGTACTTTTTGATTGGTAATTATCAGACCGATGAGTTGCTGGAATTATATTTTTCCTTTTTTTCTCTCAGAGGTTTTAAATATTTTTAAAAATAACAAAACTGTTGATTTTGTTAAAATAATTCTTATTTCTTTTTTAAAATGCAAGAAATATTAGCAAGTGCTAAAGAAAAAGCAAAAATCACTTCAAGTTCTACAATTTGGAGTTAACCATTGCTATCACTTGATGAGTTCCATGTAAGTTATCTATATAGGGAAGGGTATTTTTATTACTGTGGAATATTACAAAATTATTTTAATAAAGGATTTAACTTTACTTTCACTTGACTTTAATGGACATAACAGAAGCCCAAATAAAGCTAAACTAATTGCTAAATTTTGTATAATTTCCTCTTCTTCTTTCTTCTTCTTCTTCTTCTTTCTTCTTCTT